TGTGGACAGCAGGTATGAGCCGGGAGTGTGGGGGCGACTAAAACCTCATGGGAAGGGGGGCGTTCCGGTCCGTCCTTCACGCCCTACCGAGGTCACCAGTTGCCCCCCACGAGCGGCTCCCCAGCACAGCCACGGCCCCAGAAGCACAAGGACTTAATGCAGAACCCAGCAGCTTGGAGCAGAAAAGCGAACGGACTATGCATTGATCCAGGCCATCAAGTCTGCCGGAGGGGAAAGGGTGTTGCCCCATTTGCCCTCTCCTCTCTGGAAAGAAAGATGGCGGCCACATGGGAGCCTTGTGGACAGCAGGTATGAGCCGGGAGTGTGGGGGCGACTAAAACCTCATGGGAAGGGGGGCGTTCCGGTCCGTCCTTCACGCCCTACCGAGGTCACCAGTTGCCCCCCACGAGCGGCTCTCCAGCACGGCCACAGCCCCAGAAGCACAAGGGCTTAATGCAGAACCCAGCAGCTTGGAGCAGAAAAGTGAAAGGACTATGCGTTAATCCAGGCAATCATTTCTGCCCCGAGGGGAAAGGGTGTTGCTCCCTTCCGCCCTCCTCCCTCTGGAAAGAAAGATGGCGGCCACATGGAAGCCTTGTGGACAGCAGGTATGAGCCGGGGGTGTGGGGGCGACTAAAACCTCATGGGAAGGGGGGCGTTCCGGTCCGTCCTTCACGCCCTACCGAGGTCACCGGTTGCCCCCCACGAGCGGCTCCCCAGCACAGCCACGGCCCCAGAAGCACAAGGACTTAATGCAGAACCCAGCAGCTTGGAGCAGAAAAGTGAACAGACTATGCATTGATCCAGGCCATCAAGTCTGCCGGAGGGGAAAGGGTGTTGCCCCATTTGCCCTCTCCTCTCTGGAAAGAAAGATGGCGGCCACATGGGAGCCTTGTGGACAGCAGGTATGAGCCGGGAGTGTGGGGGCGACTAAAACCTCATGGGAAGGGGGGCGTTTCGCTCCGCCCTTCACGCCCTACCGAGGCCACCGGTTGCCCCCCGCGAGCGACTCTCCAGCACGGCCACGACTCCAGAACACAGAAACCAATTTCTTAACTATCTGACTTTCAGTAGAAATACTTTCAGGGTCAATAGGTAAAATAGCAGAAATCCAAAACCAACATTTAATTCTTGAACCCAGCTGTAGAAAGCAAATCACTTCACAATGCTTTTTCAGCATGTCTGATTTGGGGGGGGGGTAAACTCTAAATAATAGTGGTGAATCTTTTATTGAAACAATGAATCTAATCAAAGCAGATAGAGTGTTAACTAGAATTCATCTGCCTCACAGGGACGGGGAGGGGTGGGGGGTGGGGTTTTATTGGGGTTCTTCATGGTAAAAAATAAGTATTGGTAAAGGGAAATGTGTTTGATATTTGCATGACTGAGACATAAACCTGAAAGCTTTGTAACCTTTCCCACAGTGATTCAATAAATAAAAAAAAATATTCACAAGTGAATCAATGTAATCCATCATATCAATAAAATAAAGGGTAAAAACCATGTGACCATATCAATAGCTGCAAAGAAAGCATTTAACAAGATAGAGCTCTCATTTGGGATAAAATCTCCCAGTAAAATGGGCATTGAAGGAACTTTCCTCAATATAGTCAAAACCATATACCACAAACCCACAGCAAGCATCATTTTCGGTGGGGAGAAACTAAAAGCCTTCCCTCAAAGATCGAGCATGAGGCAAGGTTGCCCACTCTCACCATTCCTGTTCAATATAGAACTGGAAGTCCTGGCCATAGCAGATAACCAAAAAAAAGATATCAAGCTCATACAGATAGCAAAGGAAGAGGTCAAGCTATCATGCACTGTAGCACTGTAGCACTGTCCTCTCGTCGTTCATTGATTTGCTCCAGCGGGCACCAGTAACATCTCACAACAACTTGTGAGACTTGTTGTTACTGTTTTTGGCAAATCAAATATGCCCCGGGGAGCTTGCCAGGATTTGTCGTGTGGGCAGGATACTCTCAGTAGCTTGCTGGGCTCAGAGTTAAAATTTTTTTTAGATAAAAAGTATTTTGTCTTTAGGGCCAGAGAAAATACAGTAGATAGGGCACTTGCCTTGCAAGCAGCCAACGAGGTTCCATCTGTAGCTAACACCTATAGTCTCCTGAGCACCACCAGGAGGAAGCCCTGAATACAGCAAGGTGTGGTCCAAACCAATTCCCGAAATCCAAACAAGAAAATTTTGTGTTTGTTTAGAATCAAGTACGTGATAAAGGGCAATTAATGCAAATCAAATTAAAGAACCAGGCTGTACTAGTTTGAATATTTAAAGGGCTACAGAGGCCCTTTAAATGATCAAGACCATCGTGAATTGTATACTGTTATTTAAAACTGGAAAGCAAATCTTACCCCTTTTAAAAATTTACCATCAACACCAAAAGCAGATATCTAATTCATTCAGAATTTGCTAATGTGGCTTATTAAATGACTGGGCAATTCTCTTAGAAACTAAATGATAAAAAGAAATCTTCTAAATTCTAATAACAGGGGCTGAAAATCCTAGCAAAAGCTACAGTTATAATTTGTTTTTGTTTCAGTAATTATAAAAACAAACTATAATTTGTCATTCACCCCAGGGTATGTACAAGACAAATTTTGAAACAGAGCTACAAACAACACAAAATCTAGCATAAACCACAGGAAGTAGTTTTGGAATACACATCCAACTGCAAACTGAATGGCAAATTGAGATACTTAATCCCCAAAAATCTTCACCCTTGTCCCCCACATTGCATGACAAAAATAGGTTAGCTAATTTTGTCACAATGATAAAATGACGTGTTCATTTATAACATAGCATTAACAAAATTTAAAAACATTATAAAAATTATCATTTTCACAGGCAATTCGGATACTGTTTTCTAACAAAAGATAACTGGGGTTTATTTTATTTTAAACTTCCAAAGCCTAAAATGATTTAGCAAGCAATGTAGTAATGTTAGTTAGAAGAGCACACAATTCAGTCAGAAAGCCTCGATTTGAAATTCCACATTTTCTGTGCAACCTTACACAGGTTAATTAATATCTTGGGAATAACATCAGTTTCTTTTTCTATCTGCACAACTGAAATATTATCTAAAAACATTTGCTGTTTGAAAGATGAATGTCAGGATGGCCGAGTGGAAAGCAGTAGTAATTAAAACAGTATGGTATTGAACAAGAAACAGACCTTCAGACCTATGGAACAGTGCTGAATATTCTGTTACAGACTCTCAAATATACAATCACTTAATCTTTAATAAAGGAGCAAGAAATATGAAGTGGAACAAGGAAAGCCTCTTCAACAAGTGGTGCTGGGAAAACTGGATATCTATCTGCAAAAAAAAGGAACCAGGCACAAAAGTCATATCAAAGAGGATTAAAGACTTCAATATCAGACTCGAATCCATAAGGTACCTGGAGGAAAATGTAGGCAGAACTGTCCATAACAATGAAGTTAAAAGCTTCTTTAAGGGTAAAACACCACTGAACAAGCAAGTGGAAACAAACATAAACAAATGGAATTTCATTATACTAAGAAGTTTCTGCACCTCAAAATAAACAGTGACCAAAATACAGAGAGAACCCAAGGAATGAGAGAGAATATTTACCCAATACCTATCTAATAGGTTGTTAATACCCAGGATATACAAGTCACTAGTTGAATTGTAGAAGAAAAACTCTTCCAACTCCATCAAAAAATGGGGAGAAGAAATTAACAGAAGCTCCCTCAAGACAAGTACAAATGGCCAAAAGACATATGAAAAATACTCTATATCACTAATCATCAGGGAGATGCAAATCAAAACAACTATAGATATCATCTCACACCACAAAGACTGGACTACAACAAAAAGAACCAAGAACAACCAGTGCTGGCGCGGATGTGCGAGAAAAGAACTCTCTTTCATTGTTGGTGGGAAGGTTGGCTGGTCAACCTTTTTGGAGAACAATATGGGTATTCCTTCAAAAAGTAGAAATTGAGCTTCCATATGACCCCTCAACATCTTTCTGGGAATATATCTCGAGGGTGCAAAAAAGCACAGTAGAAATGACATCTGCACATGTATATTCATTGCAGCAATGTTCATAATAGCCAGATCTGGAAAGAACCTGAGTGCAGGAGAACAGATGACAGGTTAAAGAAACTTTGGTACATCTACACAATGGAATACTATGCAGCTGTTAAGAGAAATGAAGTCACGAAATGTGCTTATATGTGGATGATCATGGATAGTATCATGTTAAATGAAATGAGTCAGAAAGAGAGAGACAGGCTTAGAATGACTGCACTAATTTGTGGAATACAAAATAACAGAATATGAATCTGATATCCAAAGACAGTGGACACTAGGGTCATGAATATTGCTCCATAGTTGGAAGCCGGCCTCATTAGATGGGGGAGAATGTAGCCGGAATAGAGAAGGGATCACTAATTCTATGGTGGTTGGAGAGATCAAACGCAATTGGAGATGTGTACTGAAAGTGGATAAAGGACCAAACATGATAGCCTCTCATTAGCTATATTGAAAACCATAATGCCCCAAAGTAGAGAGAGATTATGGGGAAAACTGTCTGCCATAGAGGCAGGGGAAGGTCTGGGATGTGTGTGCTTGGGATACTGAGGACATTGCTGGTCGAAAATGTGCACTAGTGGAGGGATGGGTGTTCAATCATTTTATGACTGAAACTCAAATATGAAAACTTTGTAACTGTATCTCACAGTGATTCAATTTTTAAAAAAGTAAAATAAAACAGCAAAAAGTGATTCACCTAAAAAAAAGAAAATAGACACTACATTATTGTCTTTCAATGATGATAATTTAACAATGTTATGAAATTATGAATTTGTCTTTATATACATAGCAGAAACCAAACATTAACAAAAAATTTATTTATAACTTGTACCTTCCCAGCTTCTAGAAGAAGTATATTTTAAAAAGCAAATCAATAAAAAAATTGTGTTTCCTTTTCTCTTGAACTCATATATAGATTTTTCTTACCATGATGAGGATTTGTGGGCTTTTTCTCTTGGATAATTCAATGACATCTACTTCATTATAATGGAGATTTTCAAGACAGCCATTAAAGTTTTTACGTGGTAACACCATTGATTTGCTATGCTCGGGGATCCCTCCAAAGCTAATCTTAGAAAGAAGAAAAATGACATAAATAACACTATTTAACGAGTTTCTTATCTGCCTAAAATATTTCTGAGGAACAGGAAAATCATCTAATTTATCTGGCATTAATGATCATGTTAAGTATATGATCAGATTTATAGATGATTCAGATTTACATATCTCCATTTGTCATATTTAAATAGTATGTTTAATACTCTTACAATTATCTTCTCCTATGGCACTATAATTTTCATTGATGGATAATAATTTATCTTTATTTCCATATAAGTCTGAATTAGTCTAATAAGTGACCTACCATAGTTACATCCTACTTTATTAATCTTTCAAGTGATATATTTGAGAATACTGGATTTTGCCAATGTTTAAGTTAGAATAATATACATTTAATGATTATGCTGAAATCATTAATACCAAATAACTTTTGAAATGTTCTAGATTGTTAGCTGCATTGTGGAATTGCTGATTTTAAGAGTGGATTTGGCAATGTGCTGAAATTTGCATTACGTCTTTAAAAATTACATGAGATAATATTTTTTAAAATTAAGTCACAATAAATTACAAAGTTACACATAGTTGAGTTTCAGACATACAGTGTTCCAACACCAATCACTTCACAAATGTTAATTTCTCCCCATCAGTGTCCCCAGTTTCCTTTTCAACACTCAGCCTGCAACTTTGACAGGCAAAATTGGTTGTTGCAGTTTGTACCTCATACTTTCACTGGTTCTTGTTGACTCTGTGGTTCAGATATATAGATAAAACAGAGCTCCACACCACCACTATGTCCAAGGAGTCCCCAACTCCTATTTCCTTCTGTCCACCTCTTCTTATTTCTGTACCTTGCTTTCTTTACTTCCGTAACCTTCTAAGTTTTATAATCTAGGAACAGAGTAACCTAAGAGTTATTTGAACTAAATGGGTGCATTATTTAAAAGAAATCAAATTTTGGCACAAAAGAATTACTTCTCCAAATTATCTCTGTTGCTAATCTGTTTAAGATTGCCTTACAACTCAAAGTATCTTCAAAACCTAAACTAGATGTAATATAGAAGAAAGTTCTAAACTTTGTAAAATGTTGATGTCATATCGAAAGTGTTTCATCTACTTATTCCCTAGATGTAATGACCACTTAATCCCATGTGAGAGTAACAATAGTAAGGGACAATCCATCACAATAGTATATAAATATATTCCCTACATTCTTGTGTATCATCAACCACAAGAAATATTTCACTGTAATTCCCAACTCATAAGAAAAACTTTTTCTGTACACAGTGGTACATTTTCTAATAGGTAATAATGTATTTTATTAAGGAATAATAGACATCTCACTTTATATTAGTCTCAACTATTATATTAGTCATAGAATAAAAAAAACTTTCTGTACACAGTGGTACATTCTCTAGCAGGTAATTATGTATTTTATTAAGGCATAATTGAAATATCACATTAAATTATTCTCAGGTTAACACCATGATTTAATGGTGACATATGATAAGAAATGATCAGATGGTCACAGTAAATCTCTTTGCTATCCATCACCATCTCTAGAAGGTAAAAAGGGAAAGTGTGGTGATGAGCATGGTGCCATAAGATTGAATGTTTAAAGAATAAATGTTAATATTCTTATAAATCCTGGTATTTACATTTAAAAAGTACATCCAATATATTAGAAAGTGATTTTCACACCTCATAATCAAGATCCAAATAGTCAGGCTCTCCCTTAGCCTGGAAGTGATGTGTGTGTCTGTCCACAGTGAAGTTGACATGAGTGTGGAGGAGCTCAATAAGGACACAGTGCCAGTGCTGGTCATCTAGCAGGCTGCCCAGAGTGAGGACCTCCTGGACATCAGAGGAGGGTGAGTTAGAGTCTCCTAGAAAGACAGAAATGGTAAATGAACAATTCCATCCTGTTCATACTATTGAGGTTTAGCACTTCTCACAATTACACTTTCCTTCTGTCCCAAGGACTGGTGAACTGGTGAAACTATTCTAGTCATGAAGCCAATTTTCTTCAGATTTTGAGTAATTCTATTTCATTTGGCCTTATAATTATGATTCATATCATTTTTCTTGTCTTTGCCATAATGGTAGATAACATGTTGAACATATAAAATAATCATTTTATAGAATAATCAAGTTTATAAAACTTTTTTCATAAAAGCATATTCAAGATACATTGTTGTTGCCTTTTCAAGATACACACTCAGTTATAGGATAATCCATGCACCTAGAAAGTCCTAGTTTATAGGTTATTTCTTCCACTTTCAATAGTATCCTGGTTTTAGGATAAATCAATAATTTACTTGTCAAAAATTAGACATAAAATTTTATCTAACTAATTTAAATTCCCCAAAGTATTTCCCATAGATTTACCTGAATTAAGAAATAAGACAAGTTTTCCTTTAACTAATCCGAGTGTGATATATTTGCCATTTTGTCCTTCTCTGTACAACAGAATCCCATCATTTTGCCTGGTCTTAAATTTCAAAGAAATCACATCTTTTGTTGAGCTCATGTATTTCTGCTTAAATGTATACAATAAGTTACATCTCCCATCAAAGTTAATCATCTCAGATCCTACAACAGAAAACATTAACATGTTACTGAAGTATAATATATTTTATCAATTAGTTGAAATGTGTAAGTCAACACACAAATAGAATATCTCTGGTCTGTTTAACACAGTGAAAAACTACACTGTCAATTTTCTCTGTGCACTAAAAAGAACAATACTTGGACTCAATTCTTTGCCTCTTCTGACATTTCTCTGAAAAGGCATCTTCTCAGAAAGTCCATATGTTTGTATTGGTCTATTTTCATTCTGTGAACACAGTGATTATAGAAAGATGTTGAAGACAATCTCTCACAAGGAAAGTCTTTTCTTATATTTTATGGTCAGTGAATATTGTTTCACTGAAATGCTATACATTTTACATACTGACAAAAGATAAGATATTACTAAAATTCAATGTAAATGAGTTCAATTTTAAATCAGTAGTTTTGATTTTAATTCCTATAGAGCAAACACTTCCATATACTTTTGCTAAGAATAAGTGTCATAGGAATTTACATTAGATTTACAAAACTCATCTGAGCTCTTAGTAAATGATCTTCAGTCATCTGTAAAGCATATCTATTCTGAATGGTACTTTAAGAAAACATGAAAGCCATTCTACTAGGTGTCTTTTTACTGTGATGTGACAATTTCTTCTCTACTTTCTGACAGTGTCTTATCTTTCTGACAGGGTCGCTTGCATTCAATTTATATTTAAAAGGAGCGATAGCACAGCGGTAGGGCGTTTGCCTTACAAACTGCGAATATGGCCGACCTGAGTTCAATTCCTCCACCCCTCTCGGAGAGCCCGGCAAGCTACCGAGAGTATCTCGCCCGCACGGCAGAGCCTGGCAAGCTACCCGTGATGTATTCGATATGCCAAACACAGTAACAACAAGTCTCATGATGGAGACGTTACAGGGGCTGCTCGAGCAAATCGATGAACAACGGGAGGACTGTGACCTGTGACTGTGATCACTAATATAAAAACAACCTCAGTCAAACTAGTATTAAACTAGTTTTAATACATAGCAATATATATATAAGAATTAATATCCCCACTCTCATATTTTGCAACTAAAAAGACATAAAAATACACTTGTGTAATAAATGAAAGTATAAGAAAAGATGAAACTGATATCTTTCAATCTAACTTTTATAAAAATGTGTAGTTTAAAAACAGAAAGACAATCCAGGGGGCAGGGCATTAATCTTACATGTGTCTGACCCAGGTCAATTCATAGTACCCCATATGGTTCTATGAGATCTACTAGGCATGATCCCTGAGCATCAATCCAGGAATAAGCCTAAGCACTGATCCAGGAGTAAGCATTGAGCACTGCAGTGAGAGGCACTTCCCCAAACCCCCCCCCAAATAAAGTGCGGTTAATATATACTTGATATGCTTCTCATTAAGTTTAACTAAACAATTTAAAGTAATCCCTTTATGTTTAAAACTCAAGTGTATATTAAAGAGACAGTACAGCGGATGAAGAGCTTACATTGCAAGCAGACATCCCAGATTCAACCCTTGGCACTGCATATGGTCCCCAGAGCATTGACTGGAGTGATCCCTGAGTCCATAGTCAGGAGTAAGCCTTGATCATAGCTAGTTGTTATCCTCAAACCAAATAATAATAATAATAATAACAATAATAATAGATCAAATGAATCAACCATTTCATGTAGCCACCCCTTAAAATTGAGAAGTTTGAAGACAAAAAATTGATGAAGCCAGAATAAATTTAAAACTATCACATTTAGACAATATCGTTTTTCTCCATGTACATTGCTGAAAGGCAAAAGTAACAATTAAACTTTTTTTAGTGAATAAGGAATTTTAGTTTTATAAATAATTCTTTTAGAGTCCTCCTACTTTATTGTCAGCTCTTAGTTACACAGGAAATCAGAATGTTAACAAGGCGTTTGGCATACATCTCTCACAACACTCAGGGAAAATGTCCTAAAAGAGAATCCAACGTTGAAGTAGGGCAGGCACTACTAGTAAACATGTTTGCAATTATTCAAAAGTGAGATCAGTTACCTATATTGTAAAAGAAACTTCTCCCAACTTCAGGATAATGTCAAGGAAAATCTGCATAAGTGGGTTAAGACTATGACTACTCATTAGAATTAGTTCCCAGAAGCCACTCTTTAGGGATGGTGTTATGGGAGCGTTTCTGGAGAAGTCCTCACATATGCCAAAGACCACACACCCACGCCACTGATTTCTCTGCCAGAAGTATCTGCCACTACGAAATCCCTCAGCACCCTTACAGCAACATGAGATGTGGGTGTGTTGGAAGAGGAGCAAACCAGAGCTGTATGCTCTCTTGACAACAGACAACAGTTCTATCCTGGGGGACAATGAGACTTGGGTGAGTGAATTCAGGATTCAGTCTAAATCCATCTAAAACTTGCACATTTTGTTCTGCTGGTCAGTGTAATGGGGAGAGGGGGAGTGAATTTGCTCAGTCCACTTGTAGGAAGAGGTTGCAGGGTGCTCTGTGCTTTCACACTCACACTTTCTCCACTGTAGCTGTGCCTTCCTAACCCTGGCTGGCAGGTCTTGGTCAGCCTGCAGAGTTGGATGAGGTCGAGCAGCACTGTCCTTAAAGTGGAGCTGTACTCTGGCAACTGCTTCATGCTTTTGATCCCATTGTGGAAAACAGCCCAGAATAATTTTGATCAGATAATATTTGTCATAAGATTTTCTGTTGGTCCTATTGTTTGTTTGTTTGGGGAGGTAATTAGGCACCATCCAGCATGCTCCGGGATTACTCCTGGAGGTACTTAGACCATACACAGTGCCAAGGACCAAACCAGGTGGGTCCCAGGCAAGTAAAGTACCTTAATGACTGTATTATCTCTCCAGCCTCCTCTATCTTTGTAATAATAATGTCACTTTTCTTTGAATTAGATATGCTGGTGTGTTAATGCAAAGTGCTGAGACCATCCCCAAATCTCTGACTGGATGTATCTGATGATGGGCCTGGGAATTTGCTGTTATCATACATTCTCTAATTAATAAAATTTTATAAATATATTTTGAAAACTGCTGCTATAAAACATAATTTTATTAACTGTGGTTGCAATCCCATAGGGAATCATGTAACTGAACGTGGGGATAATAAAAAACTGGCAACAGTAAAAGATTTCTGAATGCACAATTACTAAAAAATTAATTCAAGGGCTAGAGAGATAGTACAGAAGTTAAGTACTTGCCTCACTTGCAATAAACCCACATTCAATCTTTCCCGAGCACAGAGCACCTTGGATCCACCAGGTATGACCTAAAACCCTTCCCTAAATTCATTGAAAATCTATGACACAATCATAAATGGGATGCTTTTTAATACCTTTGTCTTAAATTTTATTATTTTCATATTGAAAATCATGGACTTTTGCATGTTAATGTTGTAGCCTGCCATTTTATCATACATATCAATTGTTTCCAGGAGCATTTGTAGAAAAATATACAATTGTTTTACGTAGATTTAAATTTAAAGTTTTTTGTAGATTAAATTTAACTTTTTTGTAAATTTTAAGTTTTTTAAATAAAAATCATGACATCTGTAAAGAATGGAAGTTTGACTTCTTCCTTTTCAATCTAAAAATTTTAAAAAAAGGTATTTTCCTTACCTAATTGCTATGGCAAGTATTTCCAATACTAATTTGAATAATAAGTGGTGAGAGTGGGCAAACTTTGTGTTTTATTTTTAAGGAAAAGGACTTTGATTTCTCCCCAAATGGTTATAATATTTGTTTTCGCAATTCATTCAAAATAAAACCCATAATGACCCTCAGGGATTTCTGACTGTGGTTGCTTGCATTGCATGTCTTGAAAGAAGATGGAGTGTGGGCAGAGAAAAATGTAGGAATATGTGCTCTAAAGCACATATATTACACTTTATGGAACATTCTACCCAGGTACAAAAGCTGTAGAAAATGATAAAGACACAAAATTATAATATAAGCGAAACCAAAGCACTACAGTTACCAGGGCTTAAGCTTGGAGAGGCTCCAGGTGAGAGAGAAAAAGGAAGACATCAGGCAGAGCCCAACAGACTCCTAGTGCACATGAGACAGAGTTGAGTCTGCTGAGAGACTAAAGCACCTGGAATGCATCAGCAGAGTACAGAGAAGAGAGAGGCAGAGAATGCAAGTGACTGAGAAGCAACATTTCTAAAGCTTTCAGAAAAGCATGGATCAGTGCATGCCTTGGGGCTGGGCAAAGAACCACTGACATGTGAATGGGAAACAGGATTGACACACACAAGGACTAGTAGCCGTTCTATTACTCACCCAGAAATCTCAATACCCATGTAATTGGGTGGAGTGCTCAAGATGGTCTTACTGAGGACTGGGGAATAATTAACTCTACACCAAACACTGAACTGATTAGGAATAACAACTTTTTAAAAGAAACACTTAAGGGGATCAAATTCTTTTTTTTTAATTTTATTGAATCACCGTGAGATAGTTACAAGCTTTCATGTTTGGTTACAATCACACAATGATCAAACACCCTTCCCTCCACCAGTGCACATTCCCTGCCACCAATATCCCTGGTGGCTCCCCCTTTCTCACCCTTCCCCTGCCTCCATGGCAGACAATATTCCCCATAATGTCTCTCTACTTTTGGGCATTATGGTTTGCAATACAGACACTGAGAGGTAATCATGTTTGGTCCTTTATCTACTTTCTGCACACATCTCTCATCCCAACTGGTTCCTCAAGACATGAGGATCAAGTTCTTAACATTTTAAGACACCATCCAAATATATATTTGAATGAAGTTCAAAAATATTACAATGCAAAAACATTAAATAAAACAAAAGTAAAAGTCTTATCTTTAACCAATATTTACAAGCATACATGGAAACTGAAAAGAATGACCCACAGTGATGACAAAAAAAATCAGTAAAAACTCACATAGAACTGATGCATGTTAGAAAAACAAAAACGATAATGATGAACACTATAAACTTTTTATATTTCCAAAAGTTAAGCAGACTCAAGA